GGGGGGGGGCATGTCGTGGGCAGGTGGCCAGAACACCGACCACGTCTGTGTTGGCTGGAGTGGACGGTTTCAGGTGTGGCTTCGGTGGGAAGTTGTTTGCGATTTGGTCAGAGTTTGTTTTCTTAGATCTGGGGACCTGGGCCAGAAACAGGGGCACCGTTTGTCTGTTTCTCGCCTGTCAAATCAGTAGTTCTCAGGATTAAAGGCTCTTTGGGATGCGTGGGACAGGGGCTGTGGAAACTTGTCTGTCGTGGTAAATCCCTCTGGTGTGGGCCGTGCGGTCCGGGCTGTGGTGCACACAGGGGGTGCAGCTGTGTGCCAGGAAAGCGTTGTGTGCAAAAACAGTCTGCAAGCTGGATTTGTCGTTTGCCGCCCCATTTAGATGAAGTTATTTAATGAAAAGTGTCTCTCTTTCCACGCCTGTAGGTTTTAAGAGCTGGTAGCAACCTGGGGTCTCTGAGAGTGGTATCTGGAATCCCCTGTGAGCCGGGTGCTTGTGAGCATGATTTCATAGTGGGGCTGGAGCGAATCACCTGCTCAGAAGCACTGATTCCTCCCACCATCCAGCCCCTTCCGAGCTGGGCCAGGAACCTGGGTAGAGATGCTCTGGAGAACAACACTGACGTCTTCTGACTTCATGAAGAGTGAAGAGTGTGTTTTCACCTGGAAAGGGCTTATTTTCCTTGAGGCCTAAAGTCTTAATAATGGGAGCTTCCTGAAGTAACACAGAGTTAAAACTGAGTTTCCTTGTGGTTGGTCTCTGCCGACAATTAGGTGCAGACTTCCTTCCCCCACACATAGATGTTCATCTGAGAAGTTTCTGAAACTTGAGCTGAATTTTGGGTACAGAACACACCATGAAAGGTGCTGGCCTACCCTGCTGGGACTCAGGTGTAGGACCCTGCAGAGTACAGGTAAACAGCAGGTGTCTACCTCGTACTCAGGGGGCTGTGTGTGCGGTGTTCCCAGCTGTACACCCTCACCTGTGCCTTCCTCTTCCTGTCCCTGATTTCATCTCCCCTCCCCTCCCTTGCAGGGAGCAGACGGGCTCTGAGTCTGGGAAGGGCTGACATGAGCCACGGCGGATGCAGGAGCTGTAAATTACAAGGGAACTGGCTTCCTCGATGGCGTTCTTTTCAGAGAACGTTGGGGAAGCATGCGTGGTGAGGGACAGGGAACCCAGGGGCTGAGAGAAGGCGTGGTGGTCCTGCTGTCCTGTCATCTAAGTGGGGGGGGGGGCTCCTCCTTGTCTGTGAGCAGGACTGGGAGCTTCAACCTTGTCCCCTGGGGCTTGACTGCTTTTCTTATTCTGCCCTCAGGCAGATTGATGTGAAGCAGCCTGGAGGGCCTGGTTCCCCATGGACCACCCTCCCCCTCCTCGGCCGCTGTGGTCCTACCTTGACCACACAGCTTCCAGGCATCGCTGGGATTCCTTCTACAGATTGGTTTTATCCCGTGTTTCCAAAGCCAGATGGCTCCTTGCCTTTAATGTTTGTTTGTTTTTTTAAGTTTATTTATTTATTTTGAGAGAGAGAGTGAGTGCTCGGGCACACAAGCAGGGGAGGGACAGAGAGAGGGAGAAAAGGAGAGAGAGAATCCCAAGCAGCACTGTCAGCCCAAAGTTTGATTCGTGGCTCCAACTCCAGAACCGCGAGATCATGACCTAAATCGAAATCAAGTGTCAGATGCTTAACTGACTGAGCCACGCTGGTGCCCCTCGTCTTTAACGTTTAAGAGGCGTGGTAGTCGTGGGCAGAAATCAGAAGGCATGGCCCATGACTGCCACTTCTCAGCCAGTATCCTAATTCGGTAACTTACTCTGTTTTCCTGGTAAATCACAAACATGCTCCAGAGTGTGTATGTGCACACGGGATGTTTTGGTTGTTGAGATTTTAGACAGCCTTTTAAAACGGGGGACTTGATGGAGCGTCTCCAGAAGCAACTGAGCAGACTTGGTGCTTAACTGTGTTATGTGTGCAGCCATAGCACATACACCTCAGGGCCGCAGACCGTCTGTGTGTCGACAGTGGCTGCTGACACGCCGTCAGCATTGGAAGTGCTCATCGTGGATGGTGGGATACGTTTTCCAGAAACTTTGGTTGTTTAAAAACTAGGTGTGTGTTTCACCTGGCACACAGCCTGCAAAGTGAGCTGTGAGTTTGTCGGGTCGGTCACGGGCAGTCTTTATAGAGGGTGCTCGTGGTTTGCTCAGATTCGGTGAGCATATGTCACTAGGAAAAGCAAATTCACCAATTTGTGTATGACTCATAACTTCTCATTTGCTGTATTTTTATTAAAACTTGAGTTTTTAAGCTCTTCTGGGAATGATGGCTTGTTCCGAATATTAGGAAAAAATAATCACAAAACGTTCAGGGGCAAACCCAGCATTTTGTGTGTGTTAGTGCTTCCACTTTGTCCTTGGAACTCCGCATTTGGGGAAAAGGTCAGCATGGTGAGCCCCCCTTCTCTTCTGTGTGTGAACCTGTGGCTTTAAAATTTTAATTTATGCTTTAAGGATAAGCACCTTGCTTGCATACTTTGGATTTTTGTAGGTCCCACATTTTCTTGCTCTGTTTTATCTCATGTTTCATCTGGTCTGAGTCATTTATTTCATAAACACCCTAGCAGTTGAGTGTCTGTGGGACCAACAAGCAGGTCAGTCAGTGGAGGAAAATACTAATCAGCAATGGTTTTGGTGGACATCTGTCCCCAGCGTAGATGCCTACAGTTTCCTGTTGGCTAAGCTATTGGGAGCCGGGTAGACTGGGGGCCTTTCTGCTCGGCCCATGTGAATAAAGTCACAAGACTCACTCTGGGCCCAGTCAGAGCCGGAACCTTGTGAGAAGGGTCTGGGACAAATGTGAGCCTAGCGAGGATTTTTATGTGTCTTAGATGACTCTGTGAGGGTGGGGAGGGCCAAGGTGAATGACATATGGTGCTTTCTCCTTTGAATTATAAGTACAAGGCAAACAAGACACAAAGGAGGTAACTTGCAACGTCTTAGAGTCCAGTGAGTGACCCGCTCGTCACTGAGACCATGCTGAATGCCTCTTTCCTTCTCTTACAGGTGACATCACCCAAAAAGGATATGAAAAGAAGAGGTCAAAACTAATTGGAGCCTACCTGCCCCAGCCTCCGAGTACGTACCTTCCATGAGTACATAAAGCGTCTAATTTTAAGAGTTAAGTGTGACATGAGAGAGAAACTGCTGAGTGCAGACCCTTCCTCTAGCCCAACTTGCACGAAAGTCACACTTCTGATGTGCGGGCCACGTCAAACTCTTCTGTGTGGTTGCTCATGTTTCGTGGATACAGGGGGGCACACGTGACTTTTCTATAAATGTGTGCAATAAATTTAGTAGGTATTTCATCAAGAATATGTTGATTACTCTAAAATGCTTATTGTAACCATAAAAATACGAACATTATGATGTAAACATAACTTTCGGTTTAGTGAGTTAAAAATTATTGCTATTGATTATAGTTTATATTAAGCCAAGGTTTTTGTTGGTGTCACAGGGGGGCAGATCTAGAATCTAGAAACTGAATAACATCCTGCCTGGGATTATGAAATGGTAAAGGTTGGGTGTGTTCTGAAATGTGATTGTAAAATGCTGCAGATCTTCCCCTGAAGTACAAAGTCTGTTTCACTCAGGTGTTTCCTGTGCGGAGGTTTGTAGAATCTCTGTGCACTTGAGATGCATTCTGCACATTTCAGGGAAAAGAAAATGCTACCAGGCTGGAGTTCCAACACGTTAGTTCTGATGGAGGTGTGGTTCAGTCAGAGGTGACCTTGAAAATCGGCTAGGCTTTAGGAATGGTTCCAGGCTGACCCAAGTCCTCAAGAATAAAGGATAGCAACCTAAATCTCGAAGGTGCTTCCTGAACTCCTAGTTTTCACTGTTGAAACAACATGTGTAAAGCCCAGTGAGAGGTTCAGATCTGCAGGTGCACACAGCGTACAGACCCCTGCTCTGCCCCTCTGCTCTCCAGGCTATGACATGTCCAGCTGGTGTTCCGTTAGCTTGGCAAGGGGCGCGTCCCACAGAGCACGTTCCAGGGAACTGAATTCGTGTGTTGAGTCTCCATTGTGTTTGTAGTTTTGTTTTGATTCTGTGTATTTTTCTTTCCTTCCTTGATACTTAAGAAGATAATGTAAAGGTGGGCGTGTTGTGTTGGCCTGACTTAGCCGATGGGCTGGATTTTCCTGTTGTCTGGCTCATGGAAGGAAGAAGCTCGGTTCTATTCAGTGAATTAAAAACGAATCTGATTTCTGGCTGGCTGACACCCATGTGTGAGAGGCTTTCACAGTAGATGTGGGCAGATGGCCAGACGGTTTTCTAACAGAACCGCCAAGCTGTTGGCCGTTTCCTTGGCCCGTCCTTGTGAATTCCTTTCTGCAGGAGGCGCCTCCACGTTTTGGAGGAGGGCTGCTCGGGGGCAGATGTGGGCTCTTGACATTGTTGGGTTTTAATTCCTGTGACGGTGCCGCCCGTCCCCAGAAGGCATTCTTGAGCCGCGGTGGTGCAGAGGACCTGGTTGACCCGTGTTGGCTGGGCGTTGAGGGTGGCCCTGTGTTGCGTGGTCCTTTGGTGTTCTTTGTGCCGTTCTGCATGGGGTCGGCAGCTCTGCTCAGTGCTGTAACAAATTTTAAAAAAACTAAAGTTTGCATTAATTAGTTTTTTTCAACTTGTTACAGCAGCGAATGGAGCTGCCGTGGTCCGGTGTAGACTGCAGCACAGTGAAGGAGCCCCGGGAAGAGCGCTGCACTCCGGCAACATCGGGGTGTGTGACATCCGAGAAGCCGCGGTCAGAGAGCGGGCGGCCAGCACCGCGGGGAACCGGCCGCTGTTTTACTTTCGCTTCGGTGAGCGCACTCCACTGAGACCCGGAGGGGGGCCTCCGGGGCCGGCCTCCCCCTGCCGCCGCCGTGCACACCCAGTGTGGGGGACCGGAGCCGCGTGCAGGCTCAGGTGGGGCTCCGGGCTTGAGCCCCAGCCTCCAGGCGAGCTCCTGTGACTCAGCCAGGGCCCCACCGCCCCTCGGTCACAGAGCTTGTCACGATCCCCGGACCCTGATTGTCCCGCTGCCTCAGGGCCCAGTTCTGAGTCTTTCCTGTGAAAATATAATGCCGTGTTTTACAATCCTATTTTCGCAGTTGGAGCACCATTTACAAAACACTAGAGAAAGAAGAATGCGTGACAAATCATAAAATTCTAGTTGAAATGGTTGGTCCTCCGCCACCCTATGTCCCTGGCCTCAGCGAGGGTGTGCTGGGCCATTCTGGCCCTGAGCTCTGCTTGGGGGCGAGTTTGCCCTGCAGCACTGTCAGGTTTCCAGGGGCACCATGCCACTGGGAAATAGGAAAACCGAGCCAGTGATCCTCGAGTATATACTCAGAGGTAATGGGCCTATTCAGAGGCCGGAGTTACTTCAGTGGGCAATATTTTGAATATGAGAAGCCCCAAATTTGAGTTCAGTGCATCTTTTAGTAGAAAAAGAAAACAAACGTTTGTAAGCTTTAAGTTTACCCTTAGGGTTTAATCCCAAATAAAAGCCATTATTTGAAAATCAGGAAGAAATAGAGAAATTTAGTGTTGCGTTGGCCCTAGGGTCTCAGAAGAGGCCTTGGCTGTGGCTCCTGCCCCTCTTCTCTGGACCAGCTTGGGGACAGAGGCGGGGAGTGGGTGGAGGAGTTGGCTCTAGCTGCGGGGCCCACATCACGGTTTACGTAAGCCGCGGGCGCCTGACCACAACGTGGGGAGGCAGCACCTGTCTGGGGCCGCTGCTCTGGGTGCCTGGGTCCCCCACCTCCCATACCCCCAGGGAAGGGAAGGCAGGTCCCCCCATGGTTCTAAGCTCGGGAGACCAGGTTCCCTGTCAGTTTTGCAGTTTTCTCTGCTCATCTTTGTTTCTGAGAAACTGCTGGGGTGAGCAGTTGTTCATTATGTGGAACTTTGGGGAAGTAGCATGGAAAGAAGCAGCTTCTCAGAGTGTTATTCCTTGACGAGCTCAGTCTGAGAAGTCATTCTTTTGGGGTAGGATCTCATGAAAAGCATGTTGTTTGTAGTGACCCTAACCCACCCTCTGCTTTTTTACAAGGGGATTTGTGTTTTGATGAAGTTTTTTTTTTTTTTTTTTACACATTATTTTTACTTACCAGAGAAAATATTAACACTTCTGTAAAGTATGCTACAAATATTCCTAAGATGTGGTTTGAGACGCACAGTTCTGAATCAGAATGGCTTGTGCAGGCATCCAGCATCTGAGCCCTGGTGCCAGAGTCTGGGGACTGTGCTCCCTACACAGGCTGCTTCCTGGTCCCGTCTGCCCAGGAGACAACTGTGTTTTTGGGGAGCAGTGTTGAGCACTGCCTTAAATCCAGATGAGAAAAAGTGTGCCAGAAGCTAGAAGGAAAGATGAAAATTGTGTGTTTGATGAAGGGTCAGAAAGAATACGTTAAAGATCATTTGCAAGGTGGGGCGCCTGGGTGGCGCAGTCGGTTAAGCGTCCGACTTCAGCCAGGTCACGATCTCGCGGTCCGGGAGTTCGAGCCCCGCGTCGGGCTCTGGGCTGATGGCTCGGAGCCTGGAGCCTGTTTCCGATTCTGTGTCTCCCTCTCTCTCTGCCCCTCCCCCGTTCATGCTCTGTCTCTCTCTGTCCCAAAAATAAATAAAAAAACATTGAAAAAAAAATTTTTAAAAAAAAAGATCATTTGCAAGGAGAAAATCTTAAGACATACCCATTTGGTACTAGTGCTCCGTTATGTAGCACCTCTTTCACTCATTCCTAAACCTGAAGAAACTTAAAAAACGGGAGAAAACTCCACTGTACCAGTCTCTTCAGGCATATCTTCTATCACTGAGTCTTCACGGCCCCTGTGACAAGGCCATGGGGACGTAAAGTAGTAAAATTCCGGTTACCCATAAGTAGTGAAACTTTCTCAACCAGATACAGTTCCTCTTTCTAATAACGTGTATGTTAGCTGGATTTTACTTTCCTTGGGACCGTCCGGGCATATTTCCCAGTGGTGAGTGGTTTATGTGGGTCTGGTCTACTCTGTGCCCAGCCTGCCTTTCCTTAAGTGGCTCAATTATGAGGATTTCCCGTGACTGCGTGGTTGTGGAAATCTGGGTGAATTCTGATAATGAGAACAGGGAGCTAGTCTGTCTGCTGCTTTCCTGCTCCCTGGGAATCGGCCGTGGGACCCGCATGAATGGCCCCCTCACAGGGGGGACCTCTCTCGGTTAGGTTAACGGTACCCCGTTTGCTCCTACCAGAGACGGCGGATGGCCATGCGCAGGGTGTAGCCGGGTCTGGGTCAGGAGGGCCTGGCACACGGCAGTCCCAGCTGCTCTTCAGCTCCACGCACCTTCCTGCTGCCGGACTCTGTCTGACGGTCACCCGTTTCCAAGGCCGGCTTTCTGCATGTGCCGGTGCCCCTCTGCCTGCATCTGCGCATCATTTGAAGCTCATGTCAGCTGTCACTTCTGCAAGGATCCCTGGGGTTAGAACAGGCCCCTGAACGGCATCCTACTTCTGAAATGATTACGAAGCTGTAGGTTGGTGGTGGTTCAATATGAGATGATTCCACCCCCGCCAGGATGAATGAGCAGCCATCCGCACGTTACAGGCCATTTGCTGGGGGGCAGGCCACCTATACAACCACGCAGGTAGCAGGCAGGGCCCTGCCGCGTGTCCTCCTGGCCACAGACCACATGTGGCAGGGAAGCAAATGCGTCTGGCAGGTGCTGGTGCTCAGTGGGTCTTGGGGAGCCCAGCTGAGGGCAGAGCTGGCGGCCAGTGTGGTGCTTAGCTCTGTACGATGCCTCGAACATCCAGACAAATGGACCTGTTAGTGCCGTAGCTGTCTCGTATCTGTGAGCACAGTTCTATTTGATTTCCAGTTTGGGTACATTTAAGTGGTAAACGGTGACACGTAGTGCTCTCCTTGTTTCCATACCTTAGTGGTTAAAGAATAACACGATTTGGGGCCTCTGCACACTAGTCAGTTGAATTGTGTCTTATTATTATCGTGAATCCTGGATTTCAGCTCAACAACCCCGGTGTTGAGAGCTTCAACTGCAGACCCACCATCCTGACGACAGGCCTGTGTGGAGGCAGCTGTATCTGAAACCCAGCTAATGAGGAGTCTGCTGGGTTTGCAGGTTTGTGAAGAAGTCTCCTGCAAGGGGCAGAGCTCCCAGCTTGTGAATTGTGCAATTTATAGTCTCACAGGAGATGAACTTTCTCGTCCTGTGTTGAAGGATATAGACCGGAGTGTTTTGCCATTGTGTTCCAGAGTCAGAGGATCAAGTGTGCCGGTGCTGTGGTCTCCCTGAGACTGGGGGCGGCCGGTTTTGGTTCTTCACACGAACAACTGCTGTGCTTCTCTGGTGCCCAGTGCACGATTTGGCCCAGGTCGTCTTTCTGTAACAGGAGTTAGAGTCTCCCAAAGTGCATCCCTTGGCCCAGAAGCCATGTTTGCCTGTCCCAACCTGGGCTTCAGGGACACAAGCCTGTCCCTGGGGGCCTGCTCAACTGAGTCATGCTGTGCCATTTGTTGACGATGGGTGGGGTGTAAGCTGCAGGGTCAACTCCCAGAGGAAAAAAAGGGTATTTAAATCAGGTTGCCTGTCTGACTTAGCATGAATTCTTTCCAGATTGACTTGCAGTAGGAAATAAGTTTCTCTCAACTAGAGGTAAACTACCTGTGTCTTGGGGAAGCCATCCATGATCTTGATCTTGGGACACAATTTGTTGCTGTCATTTGCTTGAGAAGTACTCTTGTTTTGTCACACAGAGTTGTTGGTTTGGTCAGATGGGCTTCCCGTTATGTTTAGTGGTGGTTTACCAGCCGGATTTTTCCTCCCCAGTTACCAGTGGTTACAGCAGCAAAGCCGCCCCTGGAGCTTGAGCAGAGCTGGTGGCAGGATCTCTGATCATTCACCCGAGCAGCTGGAGATGCGTCCCCTCTGGAACTGGCTCGTGTGGGTTTTTGCAAAGAGCATGTGAGGTGTCTGAGAAACGCACATATTTGAAGCCCTGCTCCTGACTTTGCACGCTCCGTCCTTCCTGAGCTTCTCTTACCCGATGGGCAGAGGCCGAGAGTTTGGGTGCACTTAAAACTCCCTAAAGTTCCAGATCTTCTGCACTTTTCCACATTATGATATCTAATCAAATTAAAACACATCAACAAGAATATTGTAGCAAATTCATACTGATTTTTGGCAAGGACTTCTGTTTTGAGGGGTAGAAACAACAGTGGCAGAAACATAAGACCTCGGGCTGATGGTTGGGGCAGGTGTTCAGGTGACAGAATTTGTCTTTCTGTGCTGTGTTCTCATCTGAGTCAATACAAAGCAGATGTAGTAAATTTCTTACCCGTATGTGCAATGATTGTACTGGTTATTTTCTGGCAAAGGCTTGATTGCACTTGTTTTAGAAGTAAGTGCTGTTTTTTGAGAGTATAATTAGGTACTAGAAGAGTAGGGGACAACCCAGAAATTGTTCTGGTGCAGACTTGAAATCTGGAAAAGCCCTCAGCAATTTTACCAGGTTCCTGAAGAAGGATCTGTGTGTGTCAGAGCCCCGTGTGTGGCGGGCTCTGCTAGGTGCTGGGATCCACAGGCACTGTCTGCCAGGGGACAGGGCCAGAGAGGTGTCCGTTCCAGCAAGGGTCCTGGGGGATGTCACAGGTGACCGTGTCCATGTCTGCACCCCAACATGCATGGGAGCTGAGGTGGCAGCTGAGGGATTTGTCCAGTTGTGCATGTGGTAAGAGTCAGACCAGAGTCTGGATCAAGGTCTTCTGGTTTTGACTCCCACATACGTTTTTCTTCAAGTCCTCTTCTGTGTATCTTTCATGATTTCTTTTGAAAATATGTTGAAAACCAAGATTTATCAGTGTCTTCTTTTCCTTGCTGTCTGGAAAAGTCTTGATGTTTTCTGGAACATTTGCCATCCTGAATGACCCCGTGTTGTCTACACCACAGGTCTCCTGGCCCGTGGCACATGGTGCGTCAGAGTGCTGGAGCCCCGATGGCCATATTTCCAGGTTACTGTGGGGATTGTTGTGGTTTCTGGTGTCTGGTTGCCTGTAGTGATGATGCATTCCCTGCGTGTATTTGAGGGTCTGGAATTGGTGGGTTGTTGGCGTGACAGAACTGCGTTGTCAAGAATTTTCTTCAGTGAGTCCTTTCCTTTGTTCATCATGTGTTGGAAGTGGCGTGGCTGAAGGTCAGGGGCCTGGAGGCCGGGTCCCTCTCTCCCATCCTGGCCGCCCCTCTCCTCCCCCCCTTAGGCTACTAGGGTTCCTTCCTCTGATGAGTCGTACTTGGCGTCCCTTTGCAACTCTCGAGGAAAACCAAAATCTCATGGTCATGGCTGAACTGAAGCCTTGCAGGAGCCTTGCGAGGACCCGCACATGCTGTGAAAACATCCCATGTTGGTTAAGGAACATCACTGAGCCCCTCCTGCGGGCCAGGGGCCATTCGGCCCAGGGAGGAGAGGAGCCCACAGACATCCTAGCTCCTGACCGCAGCCTCCTGAGTAAGAAGACGAAGACCGCATTGTTGTCAGATGACCTCATAGCTCTCAGTGGCCTGGATGTAACTCCTGGGCAGCACTGTGTCCTGAGAAGATCACTGGTGGACGAGTAGTCTGGCAGTGAGATCATGAAAGCACTTCTTGGTGGCTTCAAGGTACCAGCTAGATTCAGCCATGTGACAAATGGCCATTGTATCAAGAGTGCAGCACCAAGCAGCACACAGCCTCTGCCACGAGGACCCAGCCACCAGCGCGTTGTTGTGAGCCTGGTGTGCTGGCGGGGTGGATCTCGAGAGGAAGAGAGAGAGAGAGCGAGATCCCTGGTGTGGGGGGGCACCCATCTCAAGAGAAGGGGCAGCTACCCGAGAACATTCATGTGCTACTTGAAAGTGTCGTGGCTGTGTACAGATGGGAAACCGAGGCCCAGGGTCACAGTGATGGGTATCCGAGAGGATGTTCAGTTCACATGGGACCTGATGCTTAGTAAGTGCCTGGGAGATAGCTCCTCTCCATCCCTGTCATGTTTTCATTTTACCCCCTGAGATTTGTGTGTTTCTGGAGGGTTACCCCACCTCCCATGAGACGGCTCACCTTCCAGTGACGTCTCTCAGATCCGACTCAGGCATCCTGTTGTAGGCACTCTGGTTGGTCTGTGCTTTTCCTGAGAGCTGGTTTCCAGTTGTGGTGTGAACATGGGCCCTCGGCTAGCTGTGTGCTGAGCTCTGTGTGTTTGAGTAATGATTCGTGTACTCACTTTATGGAATTCAACAGGAAGGACCCTCAGTTACTACCTCTGGGTCCTCCTGTGGTGACACGTTGGAAATTCTGATTTCAATTGCAGATTTGACTGATGGCTTCTTCCCATCAGAACATACCTTGACGGTACTTCAGATTTCATTCGCAGTGAGGCCAGATTAAAATTAATGGTGGGTATGCACATGCCACGCTAATATTTCAGTTTGTTTTAAATGCTCTGTTGCCAGTGACCTGTTGAAGCTGTTTTTCTTTTATCAAAATAACTCATTCCTCTTAAAACTTGTAAGCTGTGAACTTCAGCCTGTGAAGCCTGTAAACGTGCACAGTGTTTGCATGCGAAATTGGTTGAAGACAGATGTGCACCTCTGTGGACAGGCGGGCACTGGTCTGTGTCCCGTGACTGCATTTCCCAGAAGTACGTGGCCACCTGGGGACCCGAGCGGGGTGAAAGTTAATTCCAGGAAGCGTGTTTGAATGCACTAGGTCTGTGGCATGGCTGAAATTGAACGCCAGACTTGGATATATGCATAAATCAGGCACTGTTTGACCTCAGCGGCTTGAATATGCACATTTAGCTCTGCTTCCTGGAACTGCACTAAGATGTCTGTAAACGGATGAAGTGTCATCCACAGGACGAAAGAGTGGGAGAGTCCATGACAGGGTTTTATGATCTCTGGGGTTGATGACGAGGGTGCCAAGTTTAGCAGCGGGGAGGAAGTGACAAGTGACGGCTCTGGTTTCATGGGCACCATGAGGGAGGGAGGGGGTAGGCTTAGCGCCTTGGAACCAGGTGGTCCACGTCTTCCCCACTCCCCCAGAGATGTTCGTTCTCTGGAGAAATGGAACTGAGAACCTCTGGAGTTGGCGTACCAGGCAGTGCCGAACTGGAGCATGTGCCCTGGAGGGTGAGAACAGCTTCAGCCCCAAATGACAAATGCTTCTGTGTTGACAGGTGTCTCACAAGACGGGGGACTGGGGAGGGCTCTTCTTTGGGTAAATGGAACAGCTCAGATAAAAGATCTGCTGCAGGTAGATACGGTGATAACCTCACCACAGAAGACACAGGCTTGCAACTCCTTTGGTGGCAGGAAAGAAAAAGTTGTGGAAGTAGAGGAGAAAAGAAAAAAACAGATTTTTTGTAAAGAATATACCATCAGAATGGCATGTAACTTAAGAACAATACTTGAGGTAATAATGCATATAACTTAAAATTTTTTTTTTAAATTTTTTGAGAGAGAGAGAGAGAGAGAATGTGAGCGGGCCGGGGGGAAGGGGGTTGGAGAGGCAGAGAGAGAGGGAGACAAGGAATCTGAAGCAGGCTCCAGACTCTCAGCTGTCAGCACAGAGCCTGATGTGGGGCTTGAATTCAAGAACCACAAGATCATGACCTGAGCTGAAGTTGGAGGCTTAACCGACTGAGCCACCCAGGCGCTCCCACGTAACTTTTAAGTAAATCTATTTATACACGTTTTCAAGATTTCAAATTTATACATGATCTTGCTTAGTCTTCTAGGCGAAAGCAAGTTCTGGGAGGCAGGAGTGCTCCCTGGTGGTTATACAGCAGGTGTGGACCAGCCAGCTGGGGTTAGAACAGGAGGGAATCCACCAGGAGGGTCTCTAAGGAAAAAGAAAATCAAACTAAGACTGTTACCAGGTTGTCAGTGATTGCCCTCAGTGAGGAATGCATTGGAAAGATTTTTTCATTTCTGTTGGGATATTTTGAAGGATTTAACAAGTACATTGAAAACCAAGATGATGGAGCCCAAAGATAGATATTAACCGCAGAATAATAAAAGCACGTAAGATTAGAAGGGTATTTGCAGCACACTACTGACTCATGATCCTAATAATGGTGTAGTGACGGCTACACTGGTGTGAAGAAGTCGTGTATTGTCTAAAATGGGTAATTAAGAGGGATTGTTAAAACCATGCTTATAAATATGGATGTAAATGCTAAGTGACCAATTTTCATTATGACTTAATAGTACTCCTTGATGTCATAAATTCTGTGTATCTCTTTAATGAGAATCCAGAGTAGCTTTTTTAGAAAGATGATTTGTAGACTACAACTGGATGAGGTTTGGTAGCTGTGAATTGTTGTGTCGTCAAGAAGTGTCAATACGCCTGCTAGACGAGGAGCTCACAGAACCTCACCAGGCGACTGTGGGCTGGGGTGCTTACGCAGTTCACCGAGTACAGTTAGTCCGTAGTGAGGTTAACCTAACCTGTCATCTACCACAAACATGCCACCAGGAATTAAGGTGCAGAGGGGTGTGCAAGTCTTGATATCAGGGTTGTGAGTTCAAGACTCACATTGGGTGTAGATCCTACTTCAAGAAAAAAGAATTGGGGTGCAGAAATCACCAGCATGAGAGAAGTATTAAATCCCTGATGGAAATAACTCTCGCGGAGCCATCGTGGAAAACCATAAATAGTTTCTGATAAAGCTGCTGTCTCTGGTTTACTTTCTCTGCCAGGTTTTGCCTGGTCCTTTTCTGAAGAAGCAACAATTACTGTTTGCGCAGTGCTCAGAATGTCTTTACTTCTGAACTGTAATGATGAAATATTTCCCGTCAACTTACTTAGTTTTATCTAGACTGTGCTTCTTGCTGCTCTAGTTCCGAAGTCCAACAGGTATCATGGTTGCCAGATTTAGGTCAGCTTTTGACAGATACCTATCAAGTCGTTTTTATCTGACCATTTTATCATTTTAGGTAATTCATCAAAGCCATATTGAAATAAAAAATTTTCAGCTATTCACATCAAATGGAATAAGGTTTCAGAGTTAGAAATTTTGAATGAGCAAAGATGAAAATTTATGCTCAATCCTGGTACCTGAATTGTGGTGTTGATACCCTATAAAATTTATTTCATAGGTAACTTAATGATAAATGTGATTTTAAATTTCCTTGAGAATTAATATAACCCTTCCTGTATGTGTCTTACATAAAGAAAATCACAACTTGATTTGTTGGGCTCTAGTTTTCTTACCCATGTTCTAGAGACTTGAGTCTCTTCACATGACCTAATAGACATTTGTGCTGTAAGGGAGGCTGTGCTGGTGTCTGAAGGCTGTAGTGTCGGGGTATGAGCCTGCCCCTGCCCAGGACACTTCTCCCTTTCCTGTCCGTTGTCCCCAACCTTCCCCACCCCGGCCATGCCCTTGTGAGCTCTAGCTTGGCTGTAGGCATGCAGTGAGTCAGGGCTTTATTCTTCCGAATGATTTACTCTGCAAAGTGGATGAACTTTGACTGCCAAGTAAAGCCTTATCTTACTTTACTGTTTCCCTTAACCCAGGGGTGGATCAAGCTTTGCCTCCTGAGCGCCGGGCTCCAGTCACTCCTGCCTCTTCCACTCGCTATCACCGCCGAAGGTCCTCAGGGTCACGAGATGAGCGCTATCGGTCGGGTAAGGCACCATGCGGCCGTGAGGTCACTGACCCCCTAGTCTGTGATGTGATGCTGAAATGGATGGGTGGGTGGGTGCATGTCTGCAGCAGCTGTGTGGTGATGAGGCAGAGGTGCGGTGTGTTTGAATGTCCTTTGGTTGGTTGTGTGATCATAGCTGGTGACATTCTACCTCATAAACAAATATACCCTCGGGGGTACACATTAAAGCTCAGTAAACAGTGACTCTTTACACATTCTTATAGATACTGTCTGCTATTTAGAAATTAGTGACAATTGAACAGTAATCTCCCGGGAGACAAATTTTGCAGTTTGGTTTTTATTATCTTGGTTCCTAGTATAATTTTTCATTTTAACCTCAGGATTGGTTTTCAAAAAAGTAGTTTTCAAAAAAGAAAATTCTTAAACTTTTCTATGTTCTCTGTTACTTCTTTTGTGTTTTATGGTGCTGTGTCTTAGCAATTCCGTTCTGTTGGAGCCATCACCTGGGTTTGGCTGGCTTGCATTTCTTTCACTAATTTAGCATCAGGAAACTTGCACAGTGATGAATTTTTTAATTATGTTTTGAGAGATTTTTTTCCTGACACCTACACTCCAGTTGCTTTTTCCTGCTTCCCTCACTACAGTTTTTAAGGAAAATTGTCAGTAAGTGTCATTATTCAGGCCACATGTGGATTGCTAATGACAGCAGTTAAAAGATCATGTTTCTGCTTTACTTTCTATTTAGCAGAGCGCTTTCACAGGCTCTGTCTCCTGTGGTTTTTATAACCAACAGGTGACTTACTTATTGCGCCTTCATGTTGCAGACAAGGAATCCGAGGATACGGCACGAGGCAGCTCGGGCAGTTCACCCCAGGGCTGGGCTGGTCGACCACATAAGGCTCTCGGTTCTGTTTCACGCCTCCTCCCAGTAGTGGGGGTGACGGGACGAACCCTCACCCCCCACCCTTTCCTGTACAGAGCTGTCTCCCTGACATCTTGGCTGTACTCCTTCCCAGGAGGGAGGAAGAGGTAGGGCAGATCTTAGGGTATCACTGGTCGTCATCTGCGGAAGAAGAGTGGGCTTGAAAGGCAGCCAATGCTGAGGGCCGCCCCTTTGCCACACACCCCCAGGACGCCTGGATGTGGGGACAGTGTGGGGATGGAATGAAGCGGGAGCTGGTTCTCAACCCCACCTTCTGTTTTCCAGAGATGTGTGAACAGCCAGCATGTGTCAGGAACCCATCCTCATTCTGGTGTCCCAGGCCTCTTTCAGATAGCCGGGAGGGTGGAGGCAGGCACACACGGGCCGTCAGCTTTCTGTGAAATGCTTCAGCTACCTCACTGTCTTAATGCTACTATGTTAGTATTGTACGTGTGTATACAATACGGTACAAGTTATGCGTACAGTAAACACAAGTAGGTTCACATAAACATACACATAGTCACATATAGGGGGGACTCACAGGTATAGACACCCACGTAGACACAGTCACATATACAGTAGACACACAAGTACTGACACATATAGATGCATACAAAGTCACACGTACGTACAGTGGACACAGGTACATACATAGACACACACTCATACACACACCAATGTACATATAACCCCACAAAGTAAATACATATGTAGATACACGTGTAAACACAGACGCATGTAGACACATAGGTACACAGCACACATGTAGACCCACAAGCGTAACCACATAGGTACACACACAGATACAGACACACAGGTGCATATGTAGACCCATAGACACACATGTGTAGGCACATGTGTAGATCTGTACACAGACACACATGTAGACACACGTGGACACCGACACGCACAGACACATGCGGATGTGTAGACATGTACGTGTAGACACACGTTTACTATCACCGGTATCTTCAGTTCTCACAGAGACTAGTTAAGTGTTCTTTTTTCCATCTTCTAGATGAGAAACTAGAAGTTCAGGGAGGTATGTGATTGTTAACGATAGCCCAGTGAATAGCTCATCAAAACGGTGCAAGTCTAGCTTTGTCTGGTCTGTTATCTGGCTTCTTACCACATAGAAGACTGCAACTGCAACTTGTCTTGTTCTCCAGGCTCTAACTTTCTGTGTTAAATTTTTTTTTAACTGGAAATTAAGACATAGCACAGTCTATTTCCTGTGTTACCTCTGTTTCCTAATGAGGAGGGGTGGGGAAGATAACCCTAAGTTTACCTGGCATTTGCTAAGGTATATTTTGCTAATCCTCCTGGCTATTGTAGGAGACAGGAGAGGTGCTGCTTGCCTCATTGTTTTTCTTTTCAAAGAGAAAAGAAAACCTCTGTCGTTGAGAGAGGTTGACAAAGTAGGAAACGGTGCTGGAGCTGCCTTGGCCTCAGGTGCATTTCCATGAGCCTGTGTAGGGAGAGTGGAGTAGATGTGGGAGGGAAGCGTGGGTGGAGGGTGGTAGTGGAGGAAACTGCACCTGTCTCCATCCAGGCCACCTGGAGCCCTCCTTCGGAATCTCTGCTCACATCAGACAGCATCCCCATGAGGTGGTGTAACACCTGTTGTGCTTGGTGTCTGCCCTTCCCAGTTAGAACCCAGACTCGGGGATGAGCTCAGAGCTCAGCCTGCTTTGGGCAAAGGAGCTCACAGTCCAAGGGAAGAGCTGGACCAGTGACCTAGTGTTAGCTGGTGACACTCCTCTGCTCTGTATTCCTGTAGCTTCCGTCGGTCTGAGAGTAAGACTCGCATCTACCGTCTGTGTGGTCTGGGTTCCCGTTATTCCCTGGTCTTTCATATCATCCTCCTCCCACAGCTCTGCTGGCTTCTGGATGTTTCTTGAGCACCTGATTGCTATGGGGCCTTTCGCTCCCTGCTCCTGCTGCCTAGAATGTTCTCTCATGTATATACATTGCTTGTTACCTTTCCATCAGATCTGTGCTCAAGGGTTACTGCTTTTGTGAGGCATTCCCTGACCAGCCTGTTAAAATGGTAAGACACGGTATCACCTTGTGTGTAGTCCCTACCCTTCCCCTCCTGATTTCATGTGTGTCCATTGAGTTACCAACCCCAGCACTATCAGCTATCTGTCTTCCTGCCTACCTGCCTGTCATCTGTCCATCTATCTGTCATTTTGCTACCTATGTTAGTAATCCGTGTACCAATTTATCCACCTGTCTGTCTACCGTGGGAATGTAAGGCTCACAAAGACCAGGGTCTTTCTTGTTTATTCATGTATGGCAAGCATCGAAAATGGTGCCTAGTTGATAGTTCTGGAAGGAAGGAAGGTGAAGGAGCATAGCACATTTGGGGAAAAGCAAGAAGTTAGGCGGGATGGCCAGATTTTGAGATCTGTTGTGTACTGTGCCTGAGAACTTAGACGTTATATTGAAGATGACAGGGTACTCCTTGAAGATTTTATGCAAAGGCACAAGAGGAGAGGATTTAGGGTTTGGGAAAGACTTTGGCAGCTTTATGGCCTATGGATTGCACGTAGAGGAATTGGAAAAACTCTGAGATTGATGCACGTTTAGGAGAGGCATCCATGCCAGTAAGATCTGACATCTGTTTAGAAGGTGACAGCAACAGGACCTTGAGGCTGGGTCAGCATGGGGGCACGTGACGTGGGAATTCCTGGTGACTGGTGCCCTCCAGCTGTGTGGGTGATGGTCTCCAGTTCCTCTTTAGAGGATTAAGGTTTTTTGTAAGTTAAAGATGGTAGGATTTGTCCTGCTGTTCACTGTGTAAAGAATACTATGAAAATGTTATTCCTTATAGACTTCTAATTTTTTAAAATTCATACTACTGTCAATTTTGAATAAATAATAACTGCTTAATTTACATATAGGGGAAACCTATCCAGAAGCTCTTTGCATGTGCTTGTGAATCTCAGCGGGGTTTCATCAGGACTGTCATCTCCTATGACCCACACAGAGCACCTCCCCAGTGTCTCGTGGTGGCCACCCTGGAGGAGTGCTCGTGAGGGCTCGTGGGTCACGATTCAGCCCATTTGATGGTCTCACTCATGACCTTATTCTCTGCTATTTCCTGTTGTTAAAATAGACTAGTCATGAGTTTTCTTAATTTAGACATTTCACTAATACACTGTAAGTTACTTTCTCTTACAGTATATATTCACATATCATTTTTTAAAATATGATGTGAAACTTTAAGAGCTTATTGTAGTCTATGGCCAGTGTACAGGTGTCAGGATTTTCTGGTTTGTTTTTTCCTGAGCCAGCATGGAAGATTTAAGAGACTCAAAAGAAAAAGTTTTGTGGCCCTCAGGAGATTTTGTTTTCTAAAATTCTTAGACCACTCAGTTTGCAGCAGAGGTACTTTGGATGCTTTAGTGATCAAATGACATCAACCAAGAAGTAATTCTATTATCTCATTGATAATTGCCCTAATTAACACTCAATCCAGTCAACCATATAGCCTCAAATTTAATCTCTCTTGGCTATACTTTTCCATTTCATTTCCAAACCCATGGTCTTCCATTGTAATGAAGTCCTACTGGAATTCTTTATAGTAGTGTGTACCTTTCTCTTTTTAAAATAACTTTATTTGGAAACTTAAATTTGATTTGGAAAGTGAATGAATGCATGAATGAACAAACAGGCATTTCCTGAGTACCTAGAAAATGTCAAACTCTGTATTAGGAAGTCTGTTACTCTTACTGAATAAGTCTAGGGTGGAGCTTAAAGGGAGTTTAGCTGTTTTTTTACACCCTTTTCCCCCAACCACGAGTCCTAGAAAAAACTTGAAGATTTGTGTTGTTTCTATTCCTACCAGGACCAACTAGGATACCTTAAAATAAACATGGAGCATACAGTTTCCTACTATAGTATGTTTAAAACGATGGTTTTGTCTCTTGGTGAGCTGACACACAGCTTTAAAAAGCACATCCCAGTTCATATGTGTGCCTGGACCAGAGAGGTTGCCTTCCAGGGGCCCGACACTCCGGGTGGAACACCACAGAGCCCTGTCTCCCTCCTGCGCAGCAGACTGAGACAGGTCCAGGGACCCAGGGGGACCC